AGATTGGTTGATTCATATATATACATATATGATATGTATCTACATACATACATACATACATACATACACACACATACATACATACATATCTACATATATATATATATATACACACACACACACACACACACACACACACACACACACATACTTACATACATACATATATATAGATATATAGACAGATAGATAGGTCTTTATTCGGGTTTTCTCCCGCATAAAATTGGAAGTGTCTTGGCGACGTTTCGCCAAGACACTTCCAATTTTACACGGGAGAAAACCCAAGTAACCAAAGACCTACATACAAACACCCGCGAAAACCTCAGAAAATATATATATATATGATGTTGTTTTAAAAAGGGTGCTCTTTAGATGCTGTTTCCTATCAAAGTTATAACCAGTAGAATAGTATAAAGTGTGCTCTTGGCACCCTGCATATTTTAATACATTTGAGATAGATATGCTAAATATTACATGTTTGATCATAAATTCTAACACTTGCAGTTTATTATTTGTAACTGGATACTGAGCTTGAAATATTTGCTTAGCTTATGTCACTACTAGGTCTACTAGATGGCCAAGAAGATAAGAGCTTGGCTGCATTCTACTTCTATACTACATTAAAGTCACAACATTTTCTTTGGGTGCTGGCTTAGCATACAATGTGAACTCAGCTATGTTTATGGCTCAGTATTACATAAAATTAACTTGGTCATTATAATTGCTTAATAAACCAAAGTTAAGTACAACATACTGTGATGTGTGAAGCCAGCTGCTTCCTTTTATCAGAAAGTGTTCCAAAAACACTTTTGTTAAGACAAAACTAAATCAGGTTATATTCCAATCTTCTCTGAAATACTAGACAGAGAAAGAAAAAAATATTAATGAATTCCTTCTGAAGACTTTAGTGCTCAATGCACTGAACAAGACAATCAACAAGCAATAATAAACATGAATCTTCAAAGCAGTATTTCTGGTATTAAAAATAAAAGCTTACGAGCTGCACTGTTAAAAATGTATCAGAACTTAGCAGCTCAAACATTAACCATGTTTAGCATGATGGATTTTACCTACAGCAAACCTTTTTGTTTGTTTCCTGTTTCAACATGATTCTAAGATTAGTTATTGCTTTCCATTTGCAAAAACTCAATTATTATCTTTAAATTTAGTTTTTTTTTTAAGTTTTAGAATCTAAAACTGGCTTGTTTCATGCAAACTATAGTTTTGGGATCTGAGTTATCTGACAAACTATAATTAAAATAAAGCTTCGTAGCATAAGTGAAGAAATGGGTACTAGAATTTTTCTGGTTTGGTTAAGAAGCAAGCAACCCATGAAGCACATGAGACCCTCAAGTCCCTTTTTGTGACATATAAATTGGTCAGCAAATTGCTAATATGTATGGTATGTCTTCTATTAAAATTTTGCAAAACAACAAAAACATTTCAACACAAGTTATCTAAAGCTGATTTTTTTAAAGAAACAAAAACAAAAACATAAAATTAAGATAAAAGTGCTGTAGTAAAAACCTGAGCTGTCCACATTCTGGTGATATTATTGTTTATGCACTACCTCCCATCCAAAATATAGTTCCCTATCTCTAGTTGGCTAAACACATCACAGTAATGTACTGTTTGTGTAATAGGATATAATATCCTGATTCACAAATATTAACAAGCCATGAATTATAGCCCAAACTGGATTCACACATTGCCCTAAATTATATTTGGTTGACTTTCTTGCATGAATCAACAATTGCTCAGAAAACTTAAATTGTGGTTTAGCATACTTCATTAATCAATGTTTTCTCATATCATTCACAATATTTGTACAAAATGGAACTACTACGAAGAGAATAAATAACACAAAATGTAAGGCTCTGCATATAGTAACAAAACTGTAAATTTTTTCATCAACAAAAATTTCAAATATTTGGAGGAAAAACATAAGGCTTGAGGCCCTCTATAAAAGAATTCTAGAAGAGGAAGTTATATCATCTTAATGTAATATACTGTAGTAAAATACTAGCAAAATGTTTTGATTTGAGTGCAAAAAAAAAAAGGTTCCTACAAAAAAATATTTGTATTGTGGGGTCCTTGTTTTATCTCTTCTGTGTCTTCTATAGAAATAATTGCATCCTATTCAGGAAGGCTGATTTCTTGAATTAGATATTTAAAAAGCAATATATTATTTTAAAAAACTCCATTAGCTACAAAAGCCTATATGATTCAAAGTTGAGCCAAGATACTTTTTATCAGATGACTCTGTCTATATCACGGGTGTCAAACTTGCTGCATCATGTGACGTGTCGTGGCATATCGTGACTTTTTTTGCATTGCCAGAGCTGGGGTGGGTGCAGCCTGCGCATGATACAACTGGCCCATGGGCCGGCAGTTTGACACCCCTGGTCTATATGTTCTTCAGGACTGTGCTTTATTTATTTATTTGGCCAACCATCTCATCAATGTGAGTGACAGGCGCTAACAAGAATTAAAATACAATAACTATTTTAAAAAAACACAGTTCTTAAACAACTTTCCAAAACATCATTCACTAATAGTTTGGGCTCAATTACTTTCCTGGCTCCCATGCCAAAAAGCAAACAGAGCCTGGGCCAGTCAAAACCTGGGCAATGTGGTGTTCCAGAGGGTAAACACAGCTACAGAAAAGGCATGTTTCCCAAGTTCCATTAGATAACAATCCCTAATAGATGGGACCCTGAGGCATGCCCTTCTTGCCAAAACTAATAGATCGTTACAAATTATGGGAGCACTGTAACAGAATCTTCAAATACTCTGGACTCATACAATGTAGGACAGTGATGGAGAACCTTTTAGACACCGAGTGCCCAAAATACGCCCCACCCCGCCCCTGCTCTGCCCTGCCTGCAGGGCCACCTACCACCTCCATGGCCTGCAGATTTCCCAGGCGGCCCTGCAGCACCATGGTGGCCAAGCCCTCTGCCCGCACCCTGTAGCATCATCTGTGCACAACGGGGTGCGAGGGCAGAGTCTTGTCCCTCTGCCCATCTGCCATGTCCTTGGCTGCGCTGCTCTGTGCGGGCCACGCCCAGGGTGGCTACTCTCCTCCGGGGGTGGCTGCTGGTGAGAAGGGAACTGCAGGGGAAGGCAAGGATGGCGGTGCCCACAGAGAGAGCTCTGAGTGTCGCCTCTGGCACGCGTGCCATAGGTTCGCGACCACTGATGTAGGGCTTTGTATGTAATATGGTAGCACCTTCAATTGCATCTGAAAGCAAATTAGAAGCCAGTTCAGGTATAACATGGGCATGGAGAGGTATAGCCATAATTGTCCACCTATCTACATTCTGGACTACGTGAAGCTTATTGAGTCTGGGATATGTCCTAGAATTATGTAAAGCTGAATTATTTTTCTACTGACAAAACATTTGTTTCACTCCTAAGGACAAATAAAAGCTGAATGGTTTTATTGAAGTTTTTAACATTTAACAATTTTCAAAATTATCTTTGCCATTTGAAATAATGTCTGGTTTGGCTTTCATTTATAACTGCACTTTTTTCAGTCAAAAGAAGACAAGGAAATGTTAATATATAATAGCTGTATTCAATTCCTTATATGTGACAAAGCACAGTTCCAAAAGTATTTGAATTATTTAATTTATGCAAACTCTAATAAACTATAAGTAATACAAGATTACGTAAAACTGTGCCACTTCTCTTCTATGCCAAAGTATTCTAGGAAGTTACTTCAACCAGTAGAATACCACGGAACACATCAGGCCATTAAATGCTCTTTTAAAATTATTCCAAGGACATACATCTTTCCTAGCGTGCATCATAAAATAATTAGCTCATACCTTACTGTTTTGAACAATGTACCAAATCAAAATAAAAAAAAAATTATTCACTGCCTTTATTTTAACATTTTTGCCTTTGGGACTTCTTTGGCATTTTTTTTTTTTTTAATTTTTAGCGGTGTTGCTTTACAAGGCAAGTTTTCTAGAATCTAGCAGCCCCTAAATTACATTTAGTAAACAAACACATTTTCTTCTTTTAAAAAAAAAAAGGGGGTGGAAATCTCTCTCTCCCCTTACCGTTTCCTCATCTGTCTCATATTTAAGTGACTGTATTCTATTCTGACTACTCCGTCGTTCAATGCAGACCTTGCATCACCCTAGCTTGACCCAGCCAAACTCCCAGGGGGAGAACCCGAAGGTTTCCATCATAAATCAACGCGAAGTTTCACCGGAGCCGGGAAATCGTCATTTCCACCGTACCACGTGCCCAAACCTCCAAGGGATTCCCACCCTCCTCTTCTTGACCCATCCGGGTTCTCTGCAAAGGCCAGGAATGCATCTTCCTTCCCCCCCTTTCCACCACACTTCGGGGTCATTTTACCCGAGCCCAACTGCCATGGGATCCGCTTACCGCCACCGGGCAGGGAGACTGAACTGCCTCCGAGCCAAGGGAGAGCTTCCTAACGGGAAGAAGAAACCTCCTACGCGTCGAGCCTTAAAGCGGCCACCAGAGGACGAGCCCCGCCCCCTCCCCCTTTGCGACGACGCAAAGTTGCAATGCCCCGAATCTGCGATCCGTCTCTTCACACACACCCCTTAAACCCCCCACGGAGACAGCCCAACCCACCCGAAAGGGGCGCCTGGCTTAAGAGTTTTGCTTCCCCATAGTCGTAGGCTGAGAAGGCAGCTTCCCCCAAGGGGCTCCCTCCACCCTTCTTAGTGGGCTTGGGACACTCACCAGCTGGATACAAGGAAAGCACCCCGCGCAGCTAGATCAAAGCCCCGGCGCTCAGATCGTGGGGGGGAGGGGGGAAAGGGGGCAAGTACGGTAGTCAGCTGTTCCTCCCCCTCCCACTGCTCCCAACCCCCACCCCGGCAGGGGGAAGCCAAGCCAAGCGGTTCGGATAGTAGCGAGGCCCAACTAAAAGAGAAAGAAGAGCGTTCTTAAAACGGAGAGATCCAGTCGCATAAGCCACCCCAACGCTGCCGACCGAGCCGCACGCTCACCGTCACTCGCGCGCTGTCCCTTCCCTGCCCTTCCCGGGCTCCTCCTGGCGGCCACCGCCCTCGCCTGCCCCAGGGGATCCGCCCGCGCTCGCTCGCCTCCCTCCGCCTCAGGCCGGTTTCGCAAGATGGCGGCACTTCCGGGAGAGACCATCGAGAAGCTGGAGAGACGCGCAAAAAAAAAAAAAAAAAAGGCGCAAGCGCGGTATTTCTCTCCCCCCCCCCCATTTACCAATGAGAGCGCTCAGCTGGTTCTCTAATCCGGGACTCCAGATTTCGGCTCCCGGCGGGTGGCTAATGCTGCCGAGATGTCCGTCGCCGCGTCCCTTCTCGCCCGCGTGTCATGAGCTTCTCTAAAGACTCTTCACGCCCACCTCGACGGTCCTGGGAAGCTCTGACCGATCTGGCCATGGTAATCTCCGCCGCTTTGGGCCCCGGGATTGCCCGCCTCTTTTACTACCCGACCCTCATGTACACGCTGGTGCGGGAGCAGCTGCCTGGCTCGCGACGTTCGTGGTTCAGCCGCATCGACCGCGCGGTTGTCTTGGGGGCTCTTCCTCTGCGGGGACGCTGCCGCCAGGTACGGAACCGGGGTCTGCGGGATTCCACGGTTGCCCCGCGGAGGCCACTCCAGGGACGGGGCTGCTGGGTGGCCTCCCTTAGCCAGTCGGGGGAAAGGAGGAGGGGGTGGCATCCTCCCCCCCCCCGCAAGCTTCCCAGGAAAATATTTAGGAAATGTTTTTTTTTTTCCAGCCAACCTTGCTGCCCGTTGCCCTAAATGGCATCATCCAGCCGTGCGCTTTTCTGCACCTCAGGAATGTAAATGGCTGCCCGGTCCCGTTTGCTCTGAGTTCCTTTCAACTCAGTGCCGGTCGCTTCTGGAGACTGAAGCAACATTTGCCCTGCTGTGAATGGTGTGGTGGAAAAGGGCAAGAATTGGCGCAAATGAAGTAACCGGGGGGGGGGGGTAAAATCATTTACTCCACCGACCCCCTTTAAATACCTTTGGTGGCCATGGATCGTGGCCACGAACCCCCCCCCCAAAGACTTAACATTTAAATCATAACATTTGTTCAAGCCTTCACAGACCCCTGTGACAACATCATGGCTCCCCAAGGGTCTGCGGGCCACAGGTTGAGAACCACTGGTTTCACTCTATTACACTAAGATAAGGTGAAGAGCGTTCAGTAACAAATTTGGTTTGAAAGGCTTCTTCTGTACAGTATATTAACACATTATCTTGGGGCTAGACTGTGCAGACTGGGGGTATTAAACAATGACTTGCTTTTTGTTGTTTCTCTAAAGCAGGGGTTCCCAAGCAGGGGTGCTCGCACCTCCTGGGGATGCGAGACGATATTCCAGGGGGTGAGAAAACGTGGGTTTTCAAAATTATAGTGTATATGCATAATTCTTTGCTGTTATTTCAAACTTTTGTAAGGAGTGCGAGAATATATCAGAAGCGTACTAGGGATGCGGGGTATAGAAAAGGTTGGGAGCTGCTGCTCTAAAGGGTAAGTCAGGGACACCAAGACAAAGATTCCTTCGGAGCAGTTTAATTCTAGCTGTAGACATTCTTCCATGCCATACAAGATGACACCTCGGAGATGTTCAATGAAACTGATTTACTGACTTTAGTCATCTCAGTTTGCTTGTTAGTTATTGGGGGAAAAAAGCCTAATCAAAAGCATACAGGTAGTCCTTGACTTACAATGGTTCATTTAGTGACCGTTCGAAGTTACAAAGGCACTGAAAAAAGTGGCTTATGACCATTTTTCACACTTATGACCATTGCAACATCTCTATGGTGACATCATTTGCATTCAGATGCTTGACAACTGAATCACCTTTATGATGGTTGCAAATATCCCAGGGTCATGTGATCACCTTTTGTGATCTTCTGACAAGTAAAGTCAATGGGGAAGCAGGATTCACTTAACAGACATGTTACTAATTTAACAACTGCAGTGATTCACTTAACAAACATGGCAAGAAAAGTCGTAAAATGGGGCAAACTTCACTCAACAAATTTCTCTCTTAAGCAACATAAATTTTGGGCCCAGTTGTGGTTGTAAGTTAAGGACTACCTGTACTTTTAAAAGAAGACTTCCTTACCTCCTATCACCTATTTCATTTGTTTTTATAGCCATAGAGAGAGAGAAGTCTTAAGTGAATAGTAATATCTGAGCTGGGAATCAGGGCATAGTTGGATTGGACCTGGTTAGTATTTGGATGGCAAGTTGTTAAGGAATTCTAAGGTGAGGGTTAAACTGGAAAAATGAACAATTCAAGAAAAATGTAATTGTAAGCTACTTCAATACTATAGTAAAAAAAACCTTGAATGTATCCATGTAACCACCAGAGCCTGAACTTGACTTATTTTTTTTATTGGAGAACATAACCAATAAAAGAGCTCTTAGTCTCCGATATCTTACAGATTGTTAGCTGCATTTTGCCAACTTCCTAGTCAGTTTAGAGATTAATTAAGAATTCTCAGAATTGTTAGCACTACATATGGACAATGCAAGTTGGATGTTAAACTAAACCACATTTAGAACATTTGGGCATGTTGTGAATGAATTCTTCTTGCAGCTGATAGAACAAGAGAATATCCGAGGAGTGCTCACCATGAATGAAGAGTATGAGACTCGCTTTTTATGCTGCTCTCCAGAGGTACGTTCTGCTCATCATCACCAGCATAGCACTATGAGGATGCAATCACAGTTCAATAGAGTACAAATCCTAGTACGGAGTACCAATTCTTTGCGAGGAAACAATATGGTTTAATACAGGGGTCCCCAATCCCTGGTCCGTGGATCAGTACTGGTCCGTGGCATGCCAGAAAATGGTCAGCACAAACAAGGAAAGCCCCATCCACGGGATGCAGGCAGTACATGAAACCACACCCCCTCTGGTTCGTAGAAAAACCTCTCTCCACAGAACAGGTCCATGGAGCTCAAAAGGTTGTGGACTTCTGGTTTAATAACATCTGTTTGACATAGCAATGCCCTGACAATGTTTGTATAAAAGCCAAGGAAGAGATTTGTAAGTAGCAAATAATTTGAAATAGGAAAATCAAAAGGATTTATCCAAGCAAGCCAATTAAGTTTGATGTGCTGAATGCAATCAAGTGTTAGGAGACTTCCTCAATTTTACATATACTATCATGAGGTTAAAAGGTGCATAAAAGAACAAATTGACACTACATAAGATTTACTACAAAGAATTAAAGCATCGGCTTTTTTTTTTTTTTTTACTTAAAAAGCACGATAGCTTTTTAATCATGCATGGTGTAGAATTTTCTTTTGGCACCCTCATTCACTGAAATGAAATACCAGTAAAAGAAAATACATCTTTATGCAACACATTTAACTATAGAATACACAACTCTTGGGTGCACGGCTTTAAGAAAAACACTTAAACACACTCTTGCTGGCTTTACAGTGCCTTCTAAGTGAAAGGCAGCATCACTTAAAACACCATATGTTTGGGAGCAGCAGTGACCCTCCATGTTCACTATTAGGTTCCCAATTCATCTGGTTGGTTGCCATGTGACACGTGTAGGATTAGACAGGACTTTCACTGATCCAAAACGTTTTGCTTTTTTAAGATCCTGATCTGATTGCTGCCTTAATCTACGATACTATATTCATTTCTAACAATTCATGGTATCATCTAATGTTCCAGCCTTATTTCTTCTTAGCTTCTTTTTTGAACTTTTCCTTGATGAGCTTTTAATTATGTTGAAATAGTCATGTGCTATTCTAGATGAATGTTTATTTAATTAAATTTATATGGGCACCCATCTCAGAATGACTGTGGATAGTGTACATCTTTTCCTGCCGTCTACCCTATAGCTCCCTATAGTTTCTCCTTCAATCTGATTCTTCTTTTGGGGTTAATTACAGGAATGGGAGGCAATGGGTGTAGAACAAATGCGTCTTAGCACTGTGGACTTTACTGGAATCCCTTCACTAGAAAATCTCCAGAAAGGTGTCAAGTTTGTATTGAAACATCGTGAATGTGGAAACAGTGTCTATGTACACTGCAAAGCTGGACGCTGTCGCAGTGCCACCATGGTTGCTGCTTATTTAATTCAGGTAAGAATGTTTTTTTTTAATGAACAGGCTAAAAATGGAATGGCATAATATCTGATTAGGAATAAACCGTTCAAGGTGTGAAAGAAAAAATGGGATTCACTTAAATGGAAGGGACTTGCAGAACTTTATCTGCTAGGTGCTTTCCAATTATAATGCTGGAACATACAGTATTGTAGTTTAACAATAAATAGAAATTACGTATGGATTTTGTGGCTTCTCATAGGTCCATCACTGGACTCCTCAGGAAGCAATTGAAGTCATTGCTAAGATTCGTCCTCATATCATTGTCCGCCGTAAACAGTTGGAGTTATTAGAAGATTTTCATAAGTCTGTAATTGATGAAAATCCTGCACAATCACAGCAGAAGCCGACAGATACAAAACACCAACTACCATAGAATAAACAAAGAGAGAAAAAGTCACCGAAAGATATTCAGGATTCTCTTCTGAAAACATCTGGTTCCTAATTTATCGTTTAGGAGCAAATTATCAGTCAGTGTGTTTCTTCAGTGGTAGAATAAGAGTTTTAATTACTGCCTGATTTGCAATCAATAGGTGAGTATACTGTCTCTATGTTTAATTACTTTAGAATAGATGCCTAGGACTTCTTGACAAATCTTTTCTCAGATATAAAATATTCTGAAATCATAGTGCTGTTGCAGTAAAGGCCTTTATTGAGATTTGTACCCAAAGTTCTTACAGTATGTATAAGTGAGGTTGACACCTAATAATCGGGATGATGATTCAGTACAATGATGTCAAGGGTAAATTTGCTATTAATATCAGGTGGAAATGTATTAGTAACAGCAACCCCTTCTTGTCCTAGAAAACCAAGAAATCTGAAATATGTATTACTTAAAATAATTCTACCTCAATAGTTGTCTTTTGCCGTTCTAATTAGAAGGACTTTACCGGAAATCACTTATTGGAAAGATACATTTGAAATATTGTTGTAAAATTCACAGCATGTGCCCTAGCTCTAGATGGCTAGTAGTCTAGTAGTTTATTTACTTAGGACTGCTGCTAGGAGTGGGTTCAGGCCTTGATTGTGGGAGGCAAGAAACTGACCAGTAGGAGAAGCAATGCTAACAATAATCCAGCCATAACCAATATTCACTAATTAAGTGCTAGTGAAAATAAGTGTACAGCTAGGATATTGGTATTTGTGAAAAGTAAGAAACCTCTCTAAAATACTATGATCAGCCTCAAGAAAACAGAGCTATAAGGATCTACGCATTTCTCTGACCTACTGAATGTGATGTTTCCATTGTCCTAGCTCTGAAAATATCCTGGGGTTTTCAAGCCAACACAAACTGCAAATTTGTAAGTAGCACTTTGAGGCCACGGGTGACGGATACCACAGAGGTGGCTGGATTGAGTTTGAAAGTGCTGGCATCTCCCTTTTTGTAACAGTCTCGGAAGATGTAAATATTACCATTGCAACTGGCAATTTTCCAAGGGGATGGGACTGAACTCCAAGCATCTGCCAAGCAGAGCCGAGTGAAGCTATCCAACAGAGGGTTATAGCACAAAAGAGAATCTCCCTGTGCTACTATGAACACCAGGTCCTTGTACACAGCAGCGTGCATGCACCCTGCAAAGGGCAACACATAAGGCTTCACGTAACACTTCTCTGTTTTAGTGTCATAGCACTGAATCAGCCGAGAGGGTTTGGTAAAAAAATCAGCGTCATTCTCTTCACCACCCAACAAGTAAATGACACCATTAAGATTCACGCCTGCAGCCCCAGACACTGCTACTTCCAGCTGGCTTGTTTCTGTCCACACATTGTCTTTCACTTTGTAGTATATGATGGCATTAGAGAGGATGTCTTGCAATGTTTTGCCACCCAGTGAATAGATTGCATCCTTGTTGAGCACAGAAACAAGAGTATGTTGAAGCCTGTCTCGTGGCAGAGGCGCACACCATTCCCAGTCTATTGTAGTGTTGTTACACTTCCACATGCGCCGTGGAATGGATCCTCCGACGACATAGAGATCACTGCCGTGTTTGCAGGCTGCAGTGATCTGGTGACATAAACTGTTCTGACCGCTAACACTGATGGAGTCATCATCAGCACAATGCAATGAGACAGCAAGGGAGTGTGTACGAGAGGATTCCTTTCCAATCAGATAGATATGAACATTCTCTCCAATTTCCTAAGGAAGAAAAGGAACTTTTCTTAGCCTTGCATATATTAGTCAAAAGGAAGCATGCCGTTAAAAATCCCCTACAAGCAAATCAAGACTTTTTGATATACATGAGAACCCTTTTTTTATTAAAACATCCTGCATCTCTTAGTTTTGTCCACATGAAGGGTCATTTCCATCCCTATAAACTCATATTAAAACCAAACCATAAGAAAGCCAGTTTGGACCAGTGGTTAATGCATTAGGCTAGAAAGCAGAAGACTGTGAATATGAGTCCCGCCTTAGCCATGAAAGCCAGCTGGGTCACCTTGGGCCTTGGCCCAATTCACCTCACAGGTTATAGCGGAGAAAATAAGAAGAGGAAGGTGTGTTGGATATGTTTGCCACCTTATTTGTAAAAATAATAAAAGGTGAGATACAAATTAAAATGTTACCTAGGACTGGAAATACATAACCTAGATTAAAATACTTTTCATACTTTAGCGCAGGGGTGTCAAACTCAATTTCATTGAGGGCTGCATCAGCATTGCAGTTGCCCTTGGGGTGCGACCGGAGGGGGTGCGGCCTACTGGGTGGGCGTGGATGGAGTGAGTGGCCTACTGGGTGGGTGTGGCCAGCTCTACATTCGCATCAAGGGTGCCTGTGGGGGCTGTGCAATAGTGAGACAGATCTGAGGGTCTCTTGCAGAAAGGGGTGGGACCAGGGCAAGCACCAAGGCGTAATCCATTTCTTCATTGCTCACAAAGGGTGACACCTCCCCAGCATGCACCCAGGAGGCGGGGCCGACTCGCTGTTTCTAGACGGCCTTGTGGGAGCTAAGACTGAATGCGTTTCAGCATAGATGGCCACCACAAAATTGGCTCCTGGCCGGCCTGGGCCAGGGCCAAGGCAGCGGGGGCCGTTCCCTCACTGTTTCCAGGATGGCTTCGCGGGCCGCATGAAATCACTTTGCGGGCCGCATCAGGCCCCCGGGCCTTGTGTTTGACATATCTGCTTTAGCGGGATTAATCATACTGTTGAAATCTCATTGGAAGAACCAAGTATTTAAAAACTGAAAGGGAATGGGGACGTTGCAGTGAATATTATTCCAAAAGAAGGGAAAAAGCAATCAAATGCACTTTTGCAGTTGGCAATTCCTAAGCAAGGGGACACAGAATCTGAACTCAAGTCTTATGGGGTGGGCAGATACAATATGGGGAGCGCATGACTCTACCTTTAAGCTTGATTGCAGTAACTCTAAGAAACCTGCCCGCTCTTCTTTACTGAAGCCAATCCAGGTTTCTATTGCAGCTGTAGGATTCTGAGAGCAGGGGACCCCATCTGAATGATTGTAGAGGTAAACCAAACATACACACACTTGTAAAATGGCCAGAACAAATAATCTCTGCAGATCCTTTTCCATCCATTTAAACTGCACTTGAATACTATAGTTCTATTCTACAAAACTCTAGAGGCAGCAAGAATACACTCTATTTCCTAAGATTACCCAATGAATGTGTGAATCACCTGGGAAATGTGACTCAATACTGGCTAAAGAAGCAACTTACCTTCCCCTGGCACTCTTGTTCGAATACGAGATTTTTATTTTAATTGGATATTCTCAAGAGTTCAATATTTTTTTGTTGCAGTTAATAGAATTAATGATTATGAACATGCAGTTTCAATGTAATACAATGCAATGCATTATAATGTTACTCTAATGAGGTCCATTGTTAGATGTAGTCCCAGACCCGGCTTCTTAATCATCAGTATAGGAGACTATTGTGGAAAAGTCTATGCTGTTTTGCTGATCTAATTACAACCAAGAAAATCAATGGCTGTAAGGCCAGCACTATTAAAAAGATTTCAGTTTAAGAAGAATCACTATCTAGATATAAGGAAAACTTTAAATGCGGTATACTTGTTACAAATTTATTTTATTAAAATAAGCTATACATATTTAAGAGTAAAGCTAGTTTTCATGTACTTTATAATGCTTTTGGAAACTTCTAATGCCCCTGCTATTAGATTTTGCATATCATGTATTGTATTGTAATGTATATTTCATTACAAAAGCTTATATGCCATGTTTATAGGGATGTTTCACATAGCTAATAAAAATGAAATACAACAAAAACAAAAATGTTACAGGTAATCCCCGAGTTACGAGGGTTCACTTAGTGCCCGTTCAAAGTTATGCGACAACTGCCCCCTAGTGCTTATGAGCAAGTTCCCAAATCACAAATCTTGCAGCACCACGGCAGTCATTCGCTCTTACAAACAACTGCAGAGGCTCTGAAACATTCACCCAATTCCCCTTCCCTCCCCACAACTGCTTCCCCCTCCTTTCCTGCCTCGCTGGACTCAATTACCTTGTAAAAATCCTCTCCGCCACCTTTTCTTTCCCTTTGAGGGAGAGGAGAGTGGGCTTGGAAATGCTTTTCACGCAGAGAATGGAAATTTCTGGAGTCCATGATCTCACACGAGTGTTTGAAGTTGTCCCAAATCACAGACCTCAGAAACTTTCATTCTCTATACCAGGGGTGTCAAACTGCCGGCCTGGAGGCCGGATGCATCATGCCGAAACCATGCCCACCCATTGCCGGCAATGGTAAAAAAGTCACGATACGTTGCAACACGTCACGTTGCAAGTTTGACATCCCTGCTCTATGCGAAAGATGTTTGCGGTGCCTGTCTCCTGCTCCAATTCCTTTCTGCCTGAGGGCAGGCCCGAAACCTTCAACTGAGGGAGAAGGCCAAGCCCTTCGCACCCACATCCAGCCCACCGGAGCTCACCGCGCCGGGGGAGGAAGTGATCCAGTTGTCCCCGGAAGCTTCCTCCAAGCCGTCCGGAACTGAGGTCAGGAAAGCTTCTGCATGCTTGTGGAGATCAGATCTAGGCCTCAGAGGCCTGCTCCAAGCCGTTGCTGCCCAGAATGGAGGTTGGGAATGCTTCTGTGTGCCTCTGGAGGTTGGATCCAGGCCTCAGAGGCTTGCTCCAAGCCGTTGCCACCTGGAATGGAGGTCAGGGGAGGCTTCTGCATGCCTCCGAATGTCTGTTCCGGGTGGCAGCAGCTTGGAGCAGACCTCCGAGGTCTGGATCCAACCTCCAGAGGCACACAGAAGTCTCCCCCAACTTCCATTCCGGATAGCAACAGCTTGGAGCAGGCCTCCAACGTCTGGATCCAACCTCCGGAGGCACACAGAAGCCTTCCCTGACCTCCATTTTGGGGGTAACAACCATGTGGCTCTGGAGTTGGGGGAGCAGGAGGCAGGCACCGTGAACAGTGAGAGTTCAGGCGCCCGTTTTCTACAAAAGAAGACTGATGCCTGAACTCGCACAATATTACAGTACCCAGGAACTTCCATTGACTCTTCTGTCTCTCAAAAGCAGGAGCTGTGGCAGACAGGAGACAGATCTTTTCAAGGTTAGTGAGTCCCAGTGGGGCAAGAAGAGAGGGGAAGCATGATGTATCTTAGTGGGTCAGGGAGGCCTTGGGGGCCTGTTCTGCCCTGAGATACCTCATGTTTACTTAACGAGCTGTGTGCGTCTTAACAAGCAGGGAGTGATCTCCTTTGAGGTACGAGATTCGCTCCCATGAATTTTCGAGTTACAAATGGAATGGGCAGGCTCCATTACATTCGTAACTTGAGGACTACCTGTACCTGTTGCTCTCTGAGCTTGGTTGTTTCTTTTCAGACACTTCGTTACTCAACTAAATAACATCAGTGCAAATAATTGTGGGGTTTGCCCACATCCCTGCTAAAGGTGGTATAGTAAGCTACTGTATATAAACAGGGAGCAAACCCCACATTTATTTGCACTAATGATGTTACCTAATTGGATAATGATGTCTGCAAGCAAACACCAGACTCAGACAGCACCAAGTACTCAGTTCAACCATTCTCTTCAATTAAAAATAAAAATAACAAACCAACATTAAAAAAGAATCACACAGTAAGATGTTAACAAAAGTAAAAAAATGTAGTTCAGCTATTCATGACACATGGAAGGTTACATAAAATTTTACTTAAGCTAATGAAAAGACAAAATGAAGCTTCCACATAGCAGGCAGTTTTGGAAAAAGCTTTCTCTGAAATTCAGTTTCTTAGATTGCAACTGACAGGAGGCCTATATGATGGTCTTAATGTACGGATACGCTTAAACAGAACCCTAAATAGTATAAGGCTATAAATGTCATAGCAGCATCTTTATTTAGTTAATAAACATATTTATATGTCTATTCATCTAATCAGTAGAACTCTACAGTGAACAGACATTGTTCTGAAACAGGACAAATAAAACAGTTTTAAAAATACAGTTGAGGTCCATGTAAAAATATCACTGGCATATAACAATATGCACATGCTTAGCCTTGTTCAATTCAATGAAAGTCACTGAGAGGAGGAGGTTTCTGACTGATACACCAACCTGCCAATCTTGCTAGCATAATCAATAATCTCAATAATATAACCTGTCCCAACTGAAATAGATCCAAATGATCTGTTTCTGCCAAAGCCCTTTTGAATTGGACCTGGAAATAATAAGGCAGCAATAAACTTGTTTTTCTAATGGAGTTTATTCTCAACACTAGTCTCTAATCATTCTGGGCAATAAATTGATGAACAATGAAGGTTCAAAGTAAATTCTATATGGGATTTGATTTTTTCAATTGCAGGGCAATTAGACAATGTATAAACACCGTAATACCTTTTCTTCTTTACAAAAAAGATTAGTACACCATTCTTAGCTCATTATTGAAACTGAATAGCCAGAGTCAAAACTGTAAGGTACAGTTTACTTTTTCAAGAAAAATTCTATCTCATCTACTATAAAAAGCACCTCTATTATTAAGAAACTCCATAATACAGAGTCCAGACTTTGTGTAAAATTGAAATTTTTAAACCATAACTTAATTGAAGAAACACTTTATACAAAACCACAATGACTGGTGTCACATATTGCACTATGTCCCAAAGATGACTGTATACAATGTGTGAACATAATAAATTTTTCCAAGTCTCATTCACAGCAAATATTGCAGAAGACACAGTTGTTGATTGCACTGAAAGCTGAAAAAAGGTTCAGGAGAAACAACGGGGAGGTATTTCTCGACCCTGTATAGACATGTCAGTTTAAACAAATCTTTATCTGTCCCAAAACAGGGCCTGAAGTAAACCTGAATTTGGCCACGTATCAGAGTAATATATATATTAAAAATGAGTTGAAATACCATGATTTATCATCACATATCTTAGTAACTGTCTTACCTGAGACAATGTCTGTCAAGAAACGAAGAGGAAGGTGCAGAAACTCCTCTGTTTCCTGAAGCTGTGCTAAACATGATTTAGCACAATGTTTGGCCGCCGTGTAGAGCTCTACATCACTATGCTGATCAGCCAACCACATAATCTGCAAACAATTTTTCACTTGCACTGTTCGAGCCAAGAAACGAGAACACTCCTCAAAAAGGGCAGTTAGCTGGTACATATCTGCTGCTTCATAGGTCTCCTGCAAATAATCTGCCCTTAATTTCACAGTTCCATGGTAAATATAGTCTACCACAAGTTGAAAGACACTTTCACTAACATCTTGTAACTCAATGATACGGTTGTGTGCCTCTTTAAGGTTGGAAGTGAACATAGAACGAAAAAAACAGCTTTGAGCTGAAAGGACTAGGCGGTGCAGTTGGAATTCTTTGCCTTCTACAGAAATGGTGACATCAGCAAAGAGCTCATCTTCAAGGCACAACTTCATAATTCCTTGGGCCACACGGCTAGAATGTGAACGATCAGTGAAGGTGTAATTCACAAAGTAGTTTTCCTCATTTGAGGAATTTCCAGTATCCCCTGTTGAGGAACTTCCTGTTTCTTCCAGTGAGTTCATGTTGTTGCTGTGATTTGACCTCCAGTAATCTGAAATACAATAGACATTGGGAATTCTAGTATTTTGTGCCTTATGTAAACCAAATCTAATGTTAAATTTACTTAAAATACAAAAAAAAATAGAATTTGGGAAGTGGAAAAATGTATTTTACTGTGTAAGAGTTAATTATTGGATAATGATTTCTGCAATTTCTTGCAATAGGCAACTGCAACAAGAATCAATTTTTTACACAGTACACATTTTATTTATAAAATCAAAAAATAAACCAGGTAAGTATCTCAAAAGACAACAGGTATGTTTGGTAGTAGATAAACACTAAGTACCATATTTTATGAAGTACTGTATATGTTAAATATACCTTAATGTGGTGTGCTGGTGTTTAAATAAAAAAAGAAACTAAAATAGAAAATAAGTACCAGAATAAAAAACTAGAACTTAACTATGTTTATAAGAAATGTACTCAGGCAAGTGTGTTTTCAGTAGGTTCATGTCACTGGCAGGAAATTTTGTGTTTCTTTCATAATTCTATCATGTTAGAGAGATTACCAGTTACATTTTCAGTATATAAAATTCAATACAAAATCAAGCCCAATGAATGCTGGATGTTTTATGCATAGTTGTATATGCTAAAATCTACAGAGATAAACAGTCTTGAAAGAAATTCTGTTTTTAAGGTGCTAGTTTGCATTCTGCCAAATACATGCAGGAATAATCATAACCAGGGCTTTTTTCCCTCAGAGAACGTGCAAAATGGAGTTCCGGCACTTTTTTGGGATGGAACCTTATAGGGTAGGCAAGGTGGGTAGTATGACGTGTGAGTTCCGGCACTTTTTTTTTTTTTAAAGAAAAAAAGCACTGATTATAATTGTAAAGACAGCATACTAAAAAGCAGAGACATCACCCTGTCAACAAAAGTGCGTATAGTCCAGGCCATGGTTTTCCCAGTTGCAATGTATGGCTGTGAAAGTTGGACCATAAGAAAGGCTGAGCGCAAAAGAATTGAGGCCTTTGAACTATGGTGCTGGAGAAGACTCCTGCGAGTCCCTTGGACTGCAAGGCGTTCAAACTGGTCAGTCCTAGAGGAGATCAACCCCGACTGCTCTTTAGATCCTGAAGTTGAAACTCAAATACTTTGGCCACCTGATGAGAAGGAATAATTCACTGGAGAAGGGCCTAATGCTAGGAAAGATTGAGGGCAATAAAAGAAGGGGACGACAGAGAATGAGATGGCTGGATGGAGTCACTGAAGCAGTAGGTGTGAACTTAAATGGACTCCAGAAGATGGTAGAGGACAGGAAGACCTAGAGGAACAGTGTCCATGGGGTCGCGATGGGTCGGACACGACTTCGCAATTAACAACAACAACAAAATAATTGTAAACATATTTAAGCCATATCCATTGTGGGCTAAAACACGGTTGGGTACTTTGCCACTTAATGTATGGTGCAAATCCATTGAAGCACACTTTAATGTGTTAAGCAAACAACTTAATATTATATAGTACTCAAACTTGGAAGACTATGATTGGTTTGCAGTAGCCTAAAATGTATTTAGGCTTTAAAGGCATTCCTTTTTTTATATATTCTACGAAGTGGACCATTGAAGCAACAGGTTATCTCTAAGGAAAAAAAGAAATCAGAGGATAATAAAGTATTGGCGGATTAGAAACTATCCAATCCGACGCAGTCACTTAGAAGACCGAAGAACTCGCGACCTCCAAAATGGGCTTAATAGGGTTGCAGGAGTTGACCACTTTAAGTTATGGGGGTTGTGTGTATTAACGCGTAAACAAACCACAACCAAGGCCATGAAATCAGGCTGGCCTGAGTGATCTCTCCTGAGCCGCCGCAGCTAGTCCCACTCCTCAACCATACGAACAGAAAGCTTGGATCGAACCCAAGTTTCTTCAGCATTCCGACGCTGTGCGGGAGAAGCTACTAACGGCTGTCATCCACAACGGCACCGGCATGCCTTTTCTTAAGTTGGCTTCGCAGAGTTACCGCCCCCACCCACCACCTGCGGACGGCTACCGAACCTTCCCGCCCCCTCAACAGGCAGGAAAACGTCCCGGCTTCGGCCAACGGCAGCTCTTACTTGCGACTCCTCCCTTCATTTCGCCGTCTCGGGGCTGTACGGAGGGATCGGTCCTGAGGTACAACAACAGGAGGAGCTGCGCTTTCCGATTTGGAGATGAGCATACCCGGAAGCCAGCTGTAGTGATCGTCCGAGCCGCGCGCTACTTTCATTTCCGGATCATTTTGACCGTCAGGTGCGTGATTGGCTTTCTGCGGTGGAAGCTCTTACAATCTGGTCACGATACTTCCTCTCCGTCGGGCCAATCAGAGGAGCCCCAACGCTGCGCAAGCGCATGATGGATCAGTATTGAAGTCCTTGAAAATCTGGACTGTGAATTGGGCTTCTGAGACGGTGGGATGCTTGCGGCAGTTCGAGGGCTAGCCCGGGTCGGGCTAAGAGGTGATCTTGCTTAATTGCCTGATTCTAATGAAAGAATTGGGTGAAGTTTCTCTTAGTTGGTGAGGCAATGTTGGTCACTAGTACTGTTGGTAGAAGGGCATCGATTGTTATTTCTGGAGGACATGTCTTTTTTTTTTCCTTTCCCACGGGTTGCCGGGTATTGTAGTTCGCTAAGGAGATCAGGGATCGCTAACGGAGTCTTTGTAATTCCGTCAACAAAACTACAATTCCCTTGATTCTGTAAAGATGGAGCCATGGACAGTTACTGTACATACACCGTAGTGAGAACAAACATTTCTTTCTATTATGAGCATGAACTTAACCGTAGTGTCTCTTCTTTGTTCTGTCAATTTCTTCTGTTCTGGGGTTTCGAAACCTGTATTTGTCCACCGTTTTAATCTATCACTGCTTGGAATATAATCTATTCCAAATAAACGTACAAATTACAGTTCACGTGTTTTTACCATGCTAAAATGAAAACTTATATCGGAGCAATGTGATTTTATTGTTTTCCCGAATGAACAATTTTAACAGCTGCCTAGTATTTTAAAACATCTTTCTATAGAAATATCTAATAGAAAATTCATTTGAATCCCACATACATAGTCTTTACTCCTTAGATAAGAACAATATTTCAACATAATATTTTTGTGTATGAATCTTTAAACTATGAAGCAAACTTTAGTTAATAGTTGTTCTGAAGTCTTTTCAGTAGCATTATCTTTTCAGGGATTTCCTGTTGATTATCCAATGGAAAATTAGCTTTGGTCCACGTCCAGCAATTGTGATAAGATACGTAGGCTAAATATTACTGATTATTTGTTTATTATCGTAAAGAATAATATATGACTTTATAGACTTTTTTTCAATTTTGTAGCTGCTGGGCGTCCTGCAGTGCTATTACAGACTCGGTTTGAAGGAAATTATTCTGCTGAAACTAAGCGTAAGTCTGATTTACTTAATATTCAACTGGCATTTTCAATATGGACAGTTTAGTCTATTTCAGTGCATCTAGAATATTGATTTTGTGAGTGGCTAGAATAATTCCAAAATATTCTATCTAATTTATGCTTAAGATCCTGCTAACACTGCAGTGTTTCCCTAATTCTAAATATTAAGATATTGCTAGACTATAATTCCTTTTGTTTTTGCTAGGGATTGTGGAATTTGTAATACAGCAATATACGGACATCCTAGAATGGAATCACTAGTTCCTTCATGTTAGTACATTTGACTTTCAATCATTGCAAGGCTTTATGTTACATGTAAGGCATATCATAATTTGTGGCTGAGTTTAAATATTTTTAGGATTGTTTTAATGGTTTGTATGTTTGGAATATCTCAGCAGAAAAAATAATTATTTGTTTTTTTAGCAGTTCTTTTCAATACTGTTAATTGCATTTTTAAAATATTAAAATATCTTGAGCTAGTTTCTGCAGGCTATGAAAGATAGGGGAGGGGGATAAAACGTGCTCAGATTAAATTCTAGGATAGGGGTGTCAAACTGCCGGCCCATGGGCCGGATGCATCATAGCAAAACTGCACCCACCCCATTGCCGGCAACAGCAAAAAAGTCACGATACGTCGCAACACATCAGGTGATGTTGCAAGTTTGACACCCCTGTTCTAGGACAAAGGAGTTACTGAAACATATTGGCTCTAGTTTGGTTTCAGTGAGATCTCTGGATGAGGTTGCACTCTCCTTCCAGGTTTCTGGACTTAGAGTAAGGCTCTGACTAAGATAGCCTTTGTGTAGGTTCGGCTGGTACAACTGTACTTGCACTATGGAGCAATAGTCTCAGTGATCTATGGTTACATGGTTAGATTACTGCAATGTACTCCATATGCAGCTGCTTTTAAAGATGATGGAAACGGTATAGGTAGTGTAGATTGCATCAGCCAAGCTGCTAATGAACATGTTCCATTTTTTTGCAACATAAGTTGCTCTTTGGCAACTTATTTATTTATAAGTTTCTGAACTGAATTCAGAAATACTATTTTTGACATTTTACATGGTAGTACGTCAAGTTACTGATGAGATTCTATTTTTCCTTCAAAATGATTATTTCTGCTTGAGCATCACTTGAGAAACCTTTTAGGGTTCATCTCTCCAATAAGTAAAGGGAACTTGGACTTGGAGGCAGGCTTTCTCTGTGGTTGCCTGCCTCTCATGACATGGATCTCCTTACTCTTGTAACATATCTGAACCCATCTTCTGCAAAGCCCACATTTGGTTTGTGTGGATTTTTTGTTTTAAATTGTTGACTTGTTTTAAATCATGTTGTTGTAAACTGCCCAGAGTTAGGAGATTGTGGCAATGTTCAGATAATATAAATTGCATTTTGTTACTTATTTACAAACAACATTTACAGTAAAAACTCTTTTAAACTTGTCTCACTGAGACAATAGTACATTACCTTTATGGAAAGCTGAATGTTTCAGGCACCAATCCATTTGGTAAAAATAAAGTTCTTACTTCATCTCAGCCGCTGATCCTAGCATAGTTGGAATAACGTTAAGTTTGCTTTAGTTGTAAAATGACACACTAAGAAGTGGTAAAACATTACTGACACAAACACACAAACATGTAAACTACATTCACCATCAAATCTATGAGATGTCTCCCCATCCCCACCCCATACTTATTGACTGGCACCCTTGAAGGAAACATTCACAGCAAGCTGAAGTGTCCCTGAGTGATGACAGGGAAAAAACTCAGTCAGAAACCTGTGACCTAGTAAACCAAACTGTTTCTATTCACTGATTATAACTCAAACATAGCATAGCTAGCATGCTACCCTAATAAGAAGAGATGAATAATAAAATAAGTCAATTTGGATGGGTTTGTCTTAAAATATTCCAATGTCATATTGTAATTTCCAATGTGCCTTTGAAATGTAGTGGGCAAAGTTATATAAGCTCCGGTTCTCCTTTCACTCACGGTCACTCATCAAAGTGTCAAAGGGGTTCAGTATACAGTATACTGTATTATTGCTTATATGCATGCACATGTGGTATTTTTGAAATTGATGTGGTTGCTTTAGGTGAGCCAGATTTTGGGCACAGCTATTATTTTCATAACTTGTTAATTTTATTTTTATTGTTTTTAATTAATAAAAGAAAAGCAAAATGGAAAACTATTATTTTCCTAAGTTACCCTTCTAAATTTTATTTTTAGCCACAATTAGACCAAAGGATGAAATAGCTCAGAAAAAGCTGTCTGCTTTTGGAGAATATGTTGCTGAGATTCTGCCTAAATATGTTCAACAAGTCCAGGTGAGTTCTGCCAATTATTTGTCTTATACTACGAAATGCCAGCTCACTTTGGAATGAAAATGTGTGCTAAAGAGAGTCTAGAAAGGCACAAAACCAGCAGCGGCTGTCCGAGCTTCCCTCTCCTCGGGCAGGCTCCTGCAAAGCCTTTCAGCCAGCCCCACTACGCGCGCGCGCGCTGACACACACACACACACACACACACACACACACACACACACAGGTATTTATCATTGACTTTAAAATTCCTCCATTCTTCAAAGCTTTAATTACAGTTCTACATATGTGCTACCACTTTAAACCCTAGTTATTTTTATACCGAGTAGATTAAATCATTGGCATAATGGTGGTTTTAATTTTAAGATTGTAAATTTTGCTACTGAGTGACTGAAATAAAAGATTAGTACGAAATGAGCCTGCTTAGCATTGCAGTTTTCATAAGAAGCTGATCCCTTTAACATATTACTGTTTCTATCTCTACCAGATAACATGTTTCAATGAGCTGGAAATTTTAATTCATCCAGATGGAATCCTTCCTGTGATAACTTTTCTGAAAGATCACACAAATGCTCAGTTCAGAAACATAGTTGACCTGACAGCAGTCGATATTCCAAGTCGGCAATACCGTTTCGAAGTAAGATCTACTTTTCAATATGTATTACCCGTAGAATTCTACGATAACTTTAACACAAAGGCTACTGAGGTTAAAGTGTAGTTACTGGTTGTATAGCTTATCTATTCAGAAAATGTGAGAGTATTCTTCTTGCTTATTCACATACCTATGATTATAATTATATAATTATAATTAATTATAAACTTTATTGTCATTGTATGTGTATACACAGTGTACACATACAACGAAATTTACTTGACACCCAAAGACCAGGTCCCACACACATAATCCCCAAACACACTCCCATCCACCTAGCTTCATGTTTACTGATATCCCATCAGGAAGTTTTGGGACAAAGGTGCTTTCTTCACCTTCTATAGATGGAAATCATTACCAATGCAGAAATATTTCTCATATTTCACATTATGTATCATATGTTTGTGTGATACAAACTATTAGCCTTATATATTTTGTAAAGTTTACGAGAAAGTTCCTTGGTTGTTTAAAATTGTCATGGGAAAGCGGTTTTTCTCTTTCCACCAGGAGATATTATAAGCAGCTTCATTTGACTGTAGCTGAAAAAAAGCATTAGCTTCCCGGCAATGATTTGCTTGTGTAAATTTTCTGAGGTGAATCTGACAACCATTTAGGGTTCAAAAGTGAGATTCAAGGGTGCAAGGAGAAGATTCAACGGTGCCCGAGGGTGTGAGGGAGGTGCAGGGATGGTCTGAGGGTGGTGCATGAGTATACAAAAGGGGTACAGTGAAGGTCGGAGAAGGTGCATGAGGTTGGTACGTGGGAGGTGCAGTGAAGCTCGGAGAAAGTGTGCAAGCCTGTAAGGGAGATGCAGTTCACCTGATGTGTGTGTGTGTGTGAATGAGTCTGCTGTGGAAATTAAATCT